CAAAATAATCACAATAAAATGTAGGAGATGTTGGGAATTCTAGTGGCGAAGAATCATTAGATCTGGAAAGGGCTGGGTATTGTGGTGAAAATTTGCGTCAGTCGAAAATAGGATGGCGGGAATCATTAGGGATGAGTGTTGTGGAGTAAATAGGTGAGGATGTAAGGGAAAGGAGATGTATCCATGGGATTCTGCACGTCCGCCCATACCAAAAACCACTTTATTTATCGTTTGTCGGCTGTTGTCTAGAGCGTCGCTCGCACGGCTTGCGACGCATAGGGCGTCTCTAAACGATATCAATCTCTCGCGAGAGATTCTTTGATCTTTCAAGAATAAACGCCGATTCTTTTTTTCAAATGTCTTGGGGTTTCGGCAGATTTAAATCGCTTGGTTTTGGATAATCAAGACGCAGTTATCAGGAATTTCGAGGTGATTAATTTTCGCGAGTTAGGGAGGCGCTGTCACTGCCGGAGAATTCCAAACGATTTATCGCACATTTTTCAGATTCTCGGGGGAAAATCCGAGGGGAAATTGTCAATGTATTCACGGCAGAGAGACAAATTTGAGGGACTATTTATCCCCCATTTATTCGCATCAACGAATTTCAACTGAGAATAAATTTCTACAACTTTCATTCGCAATTTTCCATCTGTTGATCAATCAATTGAATCTAATATTTTTTTCAGTCAGTTTTCGATGATTATCTGGAAATTGAAGGGCGATAGCTAAATTGGTGTCCATATATTTTTTATAGAGAAACAGGAGAGCTACAAAAAAGGTATTAATAAAAATATTGCTAAGTTCCTCCAGTTCCCCGTTATCAGCGAAAACTTCACTACAATTGGGTTTTGTTAAATTTCTTGTGTCAATGTTTGAAAAAATTTGAAAAGAAAAAAGTGCACTTGGATTACCACTTGCCAATAAATACAACCTGACATCAAATTAAAGTTCGGAGTATGAAAAATGAAAAATACAGCTATTTTTGAAATCCCAATGAATTTAGAACAGTGTAATTTCAAGGGATTGTCAAAGTTCACCTGGAACCCCGGAATTATTTTCGTAAATTCGCGAGTAGTTGTAATCGCATCAGCTTCCATATCGGGTGTTAACTACTCCGCCGTACATGTTCGATATACTCCGATATACCCTGAAATCCACGCATGAATTGCATCCGGGAGAAATGGTGGCATCGAAGAAGAGAGAGAAGACGTTATACTGTCACAAGCAGATTCAGCGTAATCGGCTTAGGCAGATGCAATTTTCGCGGAGATTTCCATCAAAGCATTGCAATTAGTGAGGGTGTACCCTAACAAGGCCATTGTCAACAAACGAGGAGTTACTCGAACCGGTTAGCAGTGCGTTTCGTACCCACTGCGTTAGTCTTCCTATCCAAAATCCAATTCACAATTGACTATTCACGGATTTCAATGGTCCACCTATACTTTTCTATACCAAGGGGATGAGTGATGGGGGAGGGCAATGCACAGGCAAATTCAACTACTCCCTGTTGAACCCCTTCAAACAGGGGCAGGGGCTCAACTCTGTCACATGCACAAACGAAATTCACTGAAAAGCTCGTGTGCAGGTAAACTCGAGGCCAGGTTCAACTATCGTGTGCGCTTTCACACGATCGAGTTTCATTAAAGGCATTGTCTGCATCGATGTTGCATAGCGTTGCACCTGGGGGTGGATAAGGGGTCGGGGGGGTGGCTACAGAGGCGTCAGTGATAGTCAAATGTTATTGTGCTGCGTGAACAAGTGGTCACGTACTCGATGAATTGCTCAGCGATATTATATACGGCTGCTATTATATATGTGATGGTCGAATGGGTGCTTACGATACTGGGAAACCTACTGTAATCGCTAATGAACTTCTGTCATTCCAATTCTCGGTGGGGAATCGGTGGAAACGCGCAGCGACATCAACGGAATATTGCATTTTTTTTTTCCCACCGATGGATTGAAGCTGAGGGTCAATCCCTGGTAATATTGCAGGATTATTTCGTTTTGGGGAGAAGTCTGTAGAAATTTCGTAAAGGCTTGACACAATAAATATTCATTTTTTTCATAATAGTGTGTATAAAAATGTTTTTCTATTGTTAATTAAACAATTTTTATACATACCATAATTATTTAAAAGAATCATCTTGATAAGTTAAGGTCTGCGGAAAAAAGGGCAGCACTATTTGTTACATCTGCTTTTTTTTTTTAAAGGAATTGAATTTTGGAATTAATTATTTATCGTAACAGAAACGGATTTTTTCAAGTTCTTTTGCGATAAAATTTTTGAGAAGATACTTCTTTCTCATTTGATATGGGAATTCTACTGTCTTCTCTGCCCTCAGGGAATGCACTCCATTCTTTTATTTACTTGTCGATGGTACATCGAATTGAGCCAAAAGAATAACATTCGGGGCGAAAAATCTTTGACAGGAATTCCCTCATCAGGTCGATCTATTCTCGAAAGAATGATATACTCTACATCGGCGTTATAACAATATCATGATTGAATAATTTCACCTCAACTCAAATGGTCCTAATGGAGAACCCTTAATGAACCGGAACACGCTACAATATTTATTCCGGAAAACCTCTCGAAATGCCGTTCCGAATTCCGAAAATCATTAAATAATTTAGCAATAGCTCTCCAAAGCCACTTAATTAAATAATGCATTGCGAACAGAATATTCAGTTTCAGCACTGGTATAAGGAATTGAGGACGAGTTGATGGAAGTAAATCCCCGATTAATATTCGAGTTTTATTTCGTTTATCAGCTCCTTCAATTTTACGGTAAAATTCCCCGGTCTTTCTGTCCCCCGGGGAAAGGACTTTATTCCATTATTTATTTGCAGAAAGTACATTGAATTGAGTCGAAGGAACAGCATTCGGTGTGAAAAACTTTTGACAGGAATCCCCTCATCAGTTTCCGACTTATTCTCGCAAGTTTGATAAATTCACGTGGTCTATATAGACTCTATAACAATACCCTGTTAGAAAATTTCATTTAAAATTTATAACAATTCCTGTAGAGTTTTTCAGTAACGAATCAGTTAATCTCTTCATTATCAGGACAAATGACAAATCTAGTGAACAGCCGCGATTTAACGCAAACTCTTGCGTTATTGAAAACTGAAATCAGTGAGTTATCAAGAAATTTCTCTTTCCATTCATATATGACTGGATAATTTCATCAGGAATTAAACCTAATGAAGCCTAAATGAGCCGCGATGCCTCGATATATTTATCCCCCTCGAAATGCCATTGGAAATTCCGAAATTTACCAACTAATTGAACAATAGCTCTTCTAAACAATTTAATTGAATAATCTAATAAGGTCACGTGTGGGGGCTTTTGTGCTCGGGTTGTTATCTCTTCGGTTAAATCAGGTTGTAGTGCAATCCCGTCAATCCTTATGAAGACCAAGCCTTCCGATAGCGTATGCCATACTGATACTGGGAATGGATATATGATGTGAATTGAATTATTGGTCGTGGAATTTGCCGATATGCCACCATGTCGATGGCTGGATAGAGCCCAAACCCTTACCCATTATCACCAGAGTCAAAGCCCTACCTCAGCTATGAATTTTTACATAATAGAAATGACATTGTTACATGCTCCGTGCATTAACCTGAATATTCACTCCGCACTTTTAGCTTAGTTTAGTGTCTTTGAAAATCTTTTAACCGGAAAAATGTCACCGCTATTCGAGTTAATTTTGAGACAATGCAAAGTGATCGTTAGTTAAATAATAAATGAAGATAAATGGTAAGGATAGTAAGGATCGTAAGGGCAATATAGACCGGTTTTTATTTCAATTGGTGCAATAACAAATTACCACTTGAATTCAATTTGATTGTTATTCAATTCAAATTACGCCGTTAAATAATTTCATTATTATTAAATTCAATGACAAATTGATGGTTCGAATTTTTTGACTATAAAGTGATATTCGAATGTATCTGATGTTAAATTTTTCACGATGAGTATGAAAATTCGAGTTTTTGATAAAAAATCAATTATCATTATCAAGAAAAAATTGAATGACCATTTTGAATGGAAATTGAATTCAAAATATAATCGAAAATTCGGACGACTTTGTCACTGAAATTTCAAGAAATTTTTAATAATGTGCAGTAATTATCAATAGATGTCTATTTTAGGCCTCAGCATCCCCTAGGGATACTGGACTGATACGGGGAATTTACGGCAATTTGTTGTCTCTATTTGATGTAGAATTTTAGATGCAGAAATCGTTATTCGTGGGTTGAGTGATACAGACAAAGTCTACCCTATCAGAAATTGTTGAGAGAGGCAGGAGAAATGTGGTAAGACGATATAGAAAGTGTGGAAACAGTTAGTCTATTCCTCTCAGTGTATTTATGGTAATTCGAGGGTATTCAGCTGACCCCGGGGATCATGCATATACATTGGTCCATTGCTTTGATGCCAATGATGTATTCTCCACTCTTCCTACCCATCCGATTTCCACTCATTCGCCTGCCGAGCACGTCTCCGTGTTTTATATTTATTCCAAATTACTTTATGCACTGTTGAAAAATTTTATCTCCATTTTCACTACTAAAGCCCCGAAATTTTAATTGAGCCGTGAATTCCACTGAATCGTGGCAAATTTCGTTAATGAAATATCAAATTTTCCACCGATTTTCCGTGCAAATAATTTAAAAATCAATCAAATATTCGATCTTTCAATTCAATTATTCGATGAAAACCATCAAAATTCACAATATTTTTTTTATAACTAAAATATTGTTTCTAGCTGTAAATTCAATTTTTTATATAAATTTGATAAATGTACTTCACAGATTTTTTCATGGAATACATTTTTCGCATGCCCCACATGACTATTATGGGGGCGAGAAGAGCGCAAGTAATTGCTAATAAATATAAAAAAAAAGTACTTCCACCGAAAATTATTTTCTCTATTCAATAAATTTCTGAGTAAAAGCTAAAATAATCCCCTCTCCTGATGTTTCAGAGCGATCAAAGTTGACTTCCCCATACGATAAAGACGCGATAACAATGAGATCCACACATTGACGGCAAGAAAGTTGGATTCTCGAGCGGAAAACATTATTCGGAAACATTGATTTCAATAAGGTAAGTGTAGTGGTAAATAAACATGTTCCACCCTCCATCAGTATGAATTTTGCAACGCGGCTGAGATCAATAATCCCGAGAAAAATCCAGTGAGAAAGCCATACATACATGAATACATGTACGTACAACGGTCTCTTGTTCTTCCCTTCTGTCTTACATTCTCCTCTTCCTTCTCGTGATATACATTTTTTTTTTACCCTCAATTTTTTTGCCATTTCGAGTCCCTCCTTCAAGTGAATAAGGACAGCACTGAGTGAGCATGCGCTGTACTACCGTAATTTATAGTACTCTGGTTTTGATGTATCGTGCGTTTAGGGGGTACAAGTTTAAAATATTAAAATAGCAGGCAGTGCGACGGGCGATAGAACCTGGGGAAACTGCCGCGTCGGGAACATTTATCACAGCACGAGTCAGAGATACCAGTGTATAGACAAAGGCAGAGAGATGGCTTTCAATACTCGAGGTTATACATAACTCGAATAATAATCCCTACAACTGTGTACAGAGGGGGTGGAAGGGGGTTATTATCATTTCTGGCTTTTCGGAAATCTGTCAATGGACTTTGAAAAGTTTTTATCGTCATCAAGTGGAATTGTATCGCTGGGTAAATACCTGCATGAAATGGAACGGTTTATCTGGAATAAATGTTCGAACGATTTATCAAAGGCCGGAGCGCACGTTTTTTATAGATTTTTTTTTTTCACTATTGACGGAAATTTCGGGACTGGAGTGGAAGAATTCAGGATTCTGGCAGTTTAGCATTGTTTTGGACTATTAATTTTGGAAAGGTGGAATATTGAATTTGAAGAAAAAAATTGAACATTTTTTCTGAAATTTCATTTGAAATAAAAAAAAAACAATTTACAGAATTTTTTCACCAAATTTTCCATTTTTCATACTGAAATGCCCGCGATTCTAGTGGAGAAATAAAAATGCCAGTAAAAAATAAGGAATGTAGCGGAAATAGTAGAGGAAAATTTATAATAACGCAGTAACATTTGAATATCTAATATGGTGATTCCAGGGGATAAATCGTCCATTTTTTGTTCATTGGGTATTTGCAAGGGTCATTGGTCTGTTACCGTGGGATATGGCAGAATAAACAGCGGAATTATCAGTGGAGATAGCGAGTGCATTTCATTGACGAGTGAAAATTCACCGGAAAACATGTGTTATAGGCTTTTACCGATATTTTTCCCCTGGAGCAGGTACATAATATGAGCGTGTCGAGGGTGATGAGCATGCTGGATGGAAAACATCATGCCAGTACCATGTGGGGTCACATATGGCGCGTGGCTTCGCATTGTCAGAGGGCGTGACTTATTTCAACTGACTTTATGACTCGGTGTATTGAGCATACGGAGGAAACAGAAATGACATGTGCACAAGGTGTCCTTACACGCCTTATCCTTAATGGCCATTGTCAATGACCTTAACTTGATTACAGTGTCTGGGGGTGACGGTCTGGGTCATACATAGGGTATCTCTGCATGTAATCACATACCTAATCATACGTGAACTCATAACGCTTCATTACATGCACGTTCGAATTTTCGGAGGCCAGACAGAAAAAAAAAAGATTGAATCCTTAGGAATATCCGCGTTGACAAAATCGTTTTGTGGCAGGGATTTGCTGATAAAATTATTCCTCGTAAAAATTTGGGAAATTTGGGCGCAGGGTCATTAGAATTTTCAATTATCAGGTTGAATTTAATTAAAATTCTGAATTACTGGAATATTCAAAGAATTAACTTATTCGTCAATGATAAGATTCACAGAAATTTCGTATCACTTTGTCTCGTTTTGTTTGTTAAAAAATTCAAGGGTAATTTTCCAACGGTGTAATTGGGTTCTGAATATTATCAATTCGGAGATCTTTGATGCTATAAATAAATATTTTTATAAGTGAGCAGCTTAGCGCCTCCCGATATTTCTTCGACTCATGAATTTAATCACGCGAATCGGCGCTTTCAGATTTTTTCATACCAAGAACTATTTTCAGACAAAATAATACAGTAAAGAATCCATTCCCCAATCCATGCACCCCAGAATTATTCATATTCTTTGAGATGGTAATAGCCTCTTCCCCCTGAATTACCAACGTTAATCATATGTTTTTCGGCGGGATCTTTTTGGTGGCCGCAATACGAATCATGAGAGGGTGAATTTGTCGGATTATGCGGTAGTGGCTGTAGTCGATATTTGTCAGTATTTTGGATGAAGGTAAAATGGTATGTTGCGAATTATGTCGGCTGCAGGCGACGTGTGACCCATGGCTGCAATTGACAGGAGCCATGTGGTCACATCCTGCAATGACGCGTGCACATCGCCCAACTCTCTCCCAACATCACCCCAACATACATAGAATACTCCCAGTTTAACATACATCGGAGTCCTGATATCCAGTGATATCATAAATGCCCCCATGAATACGTAATAAATATTCCGCGAGTTTACCAACTGTTATTCCATGGAATTCACCCTTAACTCGGTGCTGGAATAATGTGAATATCTATGGATGGAGACCCAGTTTCACCCGAAAATTTTGCCGAAACACTCAAGCCAAAGTTCCATCGAATGCCGACGAGTTATGCCAGCTCAAAACGCACAAATAATCTCGTTTAGACCAATAGTATAGCTCAACGGGTTTCATACAGCTTAATTGGATTATTTCCCCCGAGATAATACCAATTGTTATCATTGCCAATTCTCCCATTTTGGCAAACTATTTCAATACTCCGATCCAATGTTTTATACCCATGTACTTCTGATATTGCTTTTTTCTCATTTTTATTTTATATTCTTTTTCATTTTATGAGCGCTGAAAAAAGCTGCAGTCAAGCTTATCCTTTATCAAACCTATTGTCTCACAACGATTTTTTACTCCCAGCATTTGTTATTGCTGTAAAAATTGTAATATTTATAAAAACTCATTCACAAAAATTGCTATTTTTACCTCAATACGAGGATAAAAATTCCTCAGCCAAATTTCATTGCGACTGGATCCTCTCGGATTTCAACTACGGTAACAACAAACAACTGAAATAAACGGAATGAAAAAAATGAGGATAACGGAGAGGAAGAATCATTCTATTGTCCCCCTCCCTCCTTCCCTGCCACCGTGCAATCCAATTATATTCTTCAGCTTTCTGCGGAATAAATTTGAATTTGTATTCACCCGAAATAATATAAAATTGTACACTCGTTTCCCAACAATTTGACATCAACAATAACTGATATAAATTGTGCGTGCAACCTGCGTTGTGCATCAGACTTTGGGGGTTTGGGGCTGTGTTAAAAAAGATGGAATAAAGCGGAGGAGGAAAAAATATATAGAGAACAGAGAAAAAAAAAAAGGGCATTCTCCCTCTCCTGGGGGAAATCACGTGCCACCCGGTTTTACGAGCACTTCACCCTCTGCTGTTCTGATCCCCATTCCCATACTTCTGACCCCGCGGGAGAGACTTTCCCTATCTCAGTGAGTATTCCTGGATGGAGAAACTGAGCGGAATAGTTGGTTGGAAAGGGGCAAAGGGATAGGGAGTGTAGCTGCAGTCACTGAATACTTGCTTTTGGCTCTTGCCCCCTTTATCATTATACTACCACTCCAAACAGAGGCGTGTAATACCCAACCAACCACTCAAATCTTTTCCTCCTTCACTGACAGCTCCTGTTTGTTGTCTTAAGGGGCACACCTAGTGCGAAAATTCGCAACAAATCCTTTCTCAGAAATTCCGGAAATCGAAGATAAAGGAATAAGGAATTGAACGTGCGCTACAGCTCGTAATTATAAAAATCGTAATTAAAAATATCCGAATGCGACCCAATGAGAAATATCATGTCTTTTTATTTTGGATAGGGCCACAGATGAATTATTAAACATGTTTTTTTTTTGAATATTCAATTGGAAATCATTCGATCGAATTGATTTTTTTTTCTGCATATTTTATGGATGTACTTCTACTCAGTGAACCTTCAGGTTTTTGATTGTACGAAAAATGGTATTTTGACGTGAGAGAGATTTCCGGAAGTTCTTTTTTCAGGCAGTCACACTAGGTTTGCCCCTCAAGCCCGCATTTCGTTGACATTATTCACCGATTGATACGACACCCCCGATTGCCCATGGGATATATTAAATATATATAGATAAAAAATAGGGAAGAGTGAATGGTGTCCAAGGGGAGGATGTAAAATAATTTACAATCGCATTACGTGTCTACACCTCTGGAAATCTGGTCACATATCAACTGCATGGAACAACAGATACAGGGCAACTATTCGTGCCATCGGACATCTGTATATATGCTGTACATATATGTATATTGGGAAAGGCACCGGTTGTACCGGACAGGGATCGTGCCAACCTAGTGCTTTGGAATATCGATTGAATTTTCTCTCGCATAGTGTTCTGAATGTCATGTGGTGTGATTCGTTTCACGCAAGCGCAATTTGTCTAACACTTTTACGCTTGTGGACACGCAGGTACATATTTACTGGTACATGCCAGACGAAACGGGACGTTTATGTGGGACAGTGAAACTACGGCACTGCAAACTGTTTTTGGTTTAAGGAAAGGGGTAAAGTTGGACAACATCGATGAATTGCTCTGGCTGGGGTGAGAAAAATTTGGTCACCAGGAAAAATCCATACGCTTTCAAAGTTCTCCAGAAGGAAATGTAATTTGAGACTAATCCCTGTCGTCGCGTGGCCCGGAAAATCGACAGACTAAAAAAATATTTCTCACTCAAAGTATAAATCCCACGATTCTAGGAATTCGTCCACACTGCTTCCTTGGAAATAATTGAGTTTCCACATATTTTACCACAAATGATTGGTAACTGAAATCGATTCGAGAAGAAAAAATTGATGAAGAAACTGTCTCTATTTGAAAATTGGAATTCAAGAAAATTTTTGACGCGCATTGATTTTTCTGGCGCTTCATTGGAATTGAGATGATAAATTTTCAATGGCGTAATTTTGTTGGAAATCTTTTCGATGTT